TCCATGCTCCTCCTGATCACACTTGTAATCCGTTTAGAATAACCATTTTACAATTATATTCTAATCCTGTGTAATTTTTTGTTTCTATGCCTCTTGTAATCTATATTCATACCTCCTAACTAACATGTCAAGTTGAAAATTTTGATTTCAATTTGTTTCCATGCTCATTTTGTTCACACCTGTAGTTCGTCCTATCCCTGCGTTTCTAAACCTCTTGTAATTCATATCAAGTCGAAAATAATTATCACCTTCGATTCGCCTTTAAAATTATTTCTCCAGTTATCAAATATTAATTTTTTGCATACGTTGTAACTATTTTCTAATCCTATGAAATCTTGTCTCTAAGCCTCTTGTAATCTATATTCGTACCTTCAAACTATCATATCAAGTTGAAAATTATTATCACCTTCGTTACTATGTGAAATTAAACAAATAATAATTCTATCCATGTTAAAATAATCTATATAAATGCGATTGTACAGCTTTTGAGAATGAAATCGCCGAAAAGATATCTTTGCTGAACTTCGTGTTCTCTTCTTTCTAATGTCCATATGGGTATTTTAAATAATAAACACTTGGTGCTGATCCACCCGATAAGGGTGTTGGCATTGTCCTAATGAATCCCCAAGACTATGTCGATAAAATGTAACCCATCGTATCAGATGAAAACAAATTCTCAAAGGAGGATAACCAGAAAGTATAAAGTGAACAAGTCGAAGGAAAGATAACACGAATGCTGAAGAAGATGGAAAACGAACTGATTATTAACTCTGGGTTATTGGAGTTAATATGACCCTCATTTCTGTGATTCCCTGGTAATATGATCTCCTGAAAGTACACAAAGAGGACATACCACTACGGCCAATCTTGGATATGACAAGTCCATGATATCGTGCTACTGCCAAAGACTCCCAGACATCTTTTAACGTATTAGAAGTAATCTCTGTCAGCATATAGTTCCATATTCATTTGAATTCGTCCATTCAATAAGTGATGTTAATGTATCCGGGGAGGAAATGATATTCCTGGATGTTACTTCTCTTTTCATCAATGTTCCTCTGACTGAAGCTATTTGCATTACATGTAAATTCATCGAAGATTATAATGTAGGCGTGGATGTTCCGACCCACTACCTAAAGGAACTAGTTTTGAGATGTACTTGAAATGTCCAGTTCAATAACACGCTCTATAGACAAAATGAAATGGGATCCCCATTGGTTCCTTGACTTGTAGGCAAGTTTAAGGAATATGATGGTACGACCAACTATCGATAGTTTTCATATGTACCAAAGATACATGGATGATACTTTTGTCATATTAAATGCCAATACAAACATCGAAATAATAACTAAGGAGTTCGGCAACTGCCATCATGCTATCCAGTTTACGTCGGTATCAGAGATGAATTGGGAATTCTATTTTTTGGGTGTTTTACTAAAAAGAAAATCTGACGGTTCTCTTCAAAGACCAATCTACAGGAAACCAGCATGGAGTGGTCAATACACAGATTTTTATGGTTGGATGCCTTTGAGAAGGAGAAATCTAAAAACACTCCTTATCCTCATGAATAAGAAGGATATGTACCAGTGATACAATCGACGGAGAACCGGAGGGCCTCAGACAGGTCCTCATTGAAAATGGCTATCCCCCAAGATTCATCGAGAAAAACTTGACGGTAAAGCAAAAGCCTGAAAGAACCCAGACAGTACTGAAGAGACTGCTACTAGTGAACGTTGGATATAAAGGTGATACTGCTGCTGAGATCCTCAAGAACTGATTATGCAGATCACTGAGAAAAGCCCTCTTTTCGGCTGAGCTACGGATCAATTTTTACAGCTGACAAATGATCAATGGATGTGTGAAGAATAAACTGCCGCTTTGGACCACTTCCTTGTGTCTTCATAAATTCACTTCTTCCTGGGGAGCTAGTTATATTGGCCGCACAAAGCGCACACTTTCCGTACGCATCTCTGAACATCATCAGGCATAGTTAGCAAAAGGACAATGCGAATCAGTAACTTGCTCAATTCTCGAGCGCTTGGTGAACGCAAGCCACACACCACCCCCCCAGAGTCGTCTTTCAAGATTATCTACAGGTTGAGATCAGATGGTACAAAGGGCATTAGGTCTCAGCATTTGCGTCTGGCGGAGGCATCGGCAATTCGTCAATACAACCCCGAACTCTATTTACAGAAGTTTGTCTAGTAACTTATTCTATCATGATCTTAACCTCTTTATTAGTCGTCCCCTACAATTTTTTTTATTTTTAATGTTTACTTTGCTTTTACTTTAATAATCAATTCATTATTATCACTCTCACACATTCTTTATGTGAATTTTCTCATCTTCACATTTATTAAGTGGACACTCAACTGCCTTTCTTCTCACTCAAAAATGATTTTAACCTTTTCAAGTGTCTAACCCTTTCTTTCTTTGTGTCGTCGAGTACTACGTAATTTACAACTTGAATTTTTACTTCTGAGTAATTAGATAAACTGTCACTCCATATTACTCAATAGTGGACTACTATACATTTTTGGTTAATATATATACGACTCTACAGCCTCTGTAGATGATTTAATCGATGAAGAAAATTTTATTCACGGAATGGTTTTCTTTTTTCTTTATGACTGCATATTTCTGTAGATTCAAAAGTACCACAATAAGCAGAAATATGACCGAGAAATAGAAGTAACAGAAAAATATGACGGTTGTGTAAATGGAGGACCCCTCAAACTGAATGCATTTGCGGAATTGTGGAGGATTTTGATCCATATCTCCAAGTCTCTAGGCTTCTCTTCTTAGAATCCCCAGTCTCCCAACCAGGGAATGCACATCTCCCTACCTGGCTCAAAGTAACTGTCAGAGAGTTCACGGACTAATGCCAAGTTTTGGTTTAACCCCGCCAAATCTTTTCCAAAAATAATCCCTTTCGGCTAACATTACCCATCGAGAAAGGCGATGAATTTGAATGCGTAACACAAGTCCTGGCCATCTCAATCGATGCAGCTTCACAACCGTAATGATCGACTAACCCTCGTTATTTATAATTCTACGCCTAACCTCAACATTACAACAGAAGATAGAAGGCAGGGCACTTATGATCAAAGACAGCTAGCCCTTTTCGTATTTCTCACTTTAAATGCTTATGTCTGACATCCTTAAATGAAGACAAAGCGAAGTGCTGCGCAGTACACAGTCCTTTAGTCGATACCTAGTTGACTATTTGCAGGAATATTTAAACAAATTAACTATAGACACCAGGAAAGTTGACAAAAAGTAATGAAATACTATTTTTTGAGTTGCATTTAACAGTGCTTTATCAACTGCTAAATTGTTCCACCGACTATCGAAAACCTCATGGAAAACATTTTATGCAGGTAGCCGTCTATTTCTAGTCGGCTTATGTTCGGGACTCAAACTGAAAACTAACGAGTCAGTCATGTCACAGCTATGCATCATCCCAACTGCTTCTGTGGGGAAAACTTACCCAAGCTACTTGTAGATACCTCCGATCTTTGAGTGAGGTGTAGATCTGTAGTTTGTTTATAGCGAACAGAACTAAAGCACTCAAGTTGATTCGCCTATCTGTGGAATCCTGCCAGTGGTATTCATTCCTGTCTATAGAGAAGATGACTCTGGCGTTCGTATTCATTCGCTTGGTCACTGAAGACCAAACTATCACCACTTCTCGCATACTTCCAGTCTGTTTCTTGGCTTTCTCGTTTTGATTCTCCTTAAACACAAGATTATTCAGAATTATTTATAACCACCCTCAATACGGTTTTATTTGGGAGTGTTAAAGTGAAGACTACTTCAAAAGAATATTGCCGGATTACGTGTTGCTTCGAATTTTACCATGACTTTCATTACCTTAGCATCTGATATTCGTTATCCCTTATGTACTACCCTAATGGAGAGGGTAGGTTGACAAGGGTTCGATGTAATAACCATTCAACCGCCCAACAACCCGTTCTTCATTGATAGTATGAACTCCCGGGAATCCGACTTCTTCCACCTCATGTAGTCAGTATTTAGACAGCCACGACGACCTCAGTTGATCATGCAACATATCAGGGCAGGAATTTTCTCCCAGTTGCAATTACTACAAATCCGGCTGTTTCTATCAAGTTAGCTGTGAGTTATTAAGTTGAAGTAACATCAGTAGCAGCGTACTAACTAATTTGGAATGCACTCACGAAACTGGCGAACCATCAGGTGATGGCATAGTGAAGACTTAGATTATTACGTGACATGATCTGTGCACTTTGAAGGCAATATACTACCTCATACCTACTTGGTTCAAAATGGAAGTCACGCCTACTGACGGTCCAAGATCTAGATTCATTGAGTTGTTGCCTAACTTCAGTACCGAACTACTTTACGTAGTTTCTACTCATATTCATACCGCAAACGAGGCCCTATACCCGCCTAAAGTCAATACTACATTTTACTGTCGCTCGAATGTGACTACTAAGATAAGCGTAGTGACGGAAAGGACAGCAGGCGGACAAAATATACATCATCCTCCAAGCCCTAAAATATAACACTGCTAAGTTTGCAAACTTTCGTATCACAATTCGAGTAACGGTACTACGCATCGATCAGTGCTCATGTTAAAAAACCCACTACTTTCAGAGTACACATCTACAATATTTGAAATCACAAACAGCTACCGTAGAAAACTATCTAAAAACGATATCGATACAATTAACTTCATAGTTATTACACCTAGATAACTGAAACACCTAAGCATCATTTACTGCAAACTTTGCAATTTGACCAGACATAAATAAAAACTTGATTCAAACTTCCGAAACAAACTTTATTGCAAATTAATGGCCAAGACGCCTTGCTCGTATTCTCTTCTCACGATCTTCCATTATAGATAACCGTATACCTTTGCCCTTAGGTAGGGAAACCCATGCCTTGTTCGATTTCCCAATTATGAAAATGTTATTCAAACGGGTTACAAATTGGTGCCCCGTGCTGTCACGTACGTGAACCATTTCGACAGATCCAGGATGGCGTTCCCATTGGGTGATGGTCCCCACACGTCCCAAATTACGTCCGCCGGTTACCATACAGATATTGCCTGAGAAATCACTTAGTATGAAGCAGACTTACCCGGCTCAAATTTAATGTGATTCAGCACTTTTCCTGTTGCAATATCCACTTGAATAGTGTCATTAGGTTTGATATTAGGGTCTGGGTATCTGATTGTTCTGGCATCATGTGTAACAATGAATGGCACACCCCCATGACCAACAAGCACTTTCCTCACTTTGCACAACTTGTATTTCGCCTCGTCAGGGTGGATACGATGAATAGCAAATCTGCCCTTAACATCATAGATCAGACGGAAGTGTTCGTTTGTTTTCTCGATGGTGATTACATCCATGAAGCCTGCTGGGTATTTTTTATCTGTACGGACTCTTCCATCGACTTTAATCAAACGCTGAGCTAAGATTTTTGTACATTCTGAATAGGTCAGTGCATATTTAAGTCGATTTCGTAAGAATATACTGAGGGGCAAACACTCTCGAAGTTTGTGAGGACCTGTGCTTGGTCTGGGGGCGAAATTGCCACCCAGCTTATCCAACATCCAGTGCTTTGGAGCATTTAACCTCTTCAAGTGTTTCTTGTTACCACGAACCTATAGAAATAGACGAAATTGGCATACAAATAACATAAAAACTTACACCCATGTTAGCGTGACCAGTGTACTAACCGCAAAACGGTGCGTGAGACTAAGTGGCGCTACCGCCGGTGAGCATGAAAACATTATAACATAAGTTGTCAATTGAATATTCACTTGGATTGTCATAACTCTCTAGAGACTAGGTTTTAACTCACGCGATATTTTTTATAAAAATTCACAGTCTTTACTTCAGATAAGGCAGAAGATTTTATGTGTAAAAATGTTTGTCTCATACCCATGCTACGTTCATGAAAAACTCACATATTACTTGCTTGATAATCATGAATTCCATCAGTTACATCAGTTCATATTGAGGAGCCTAATTAACAAGAAATTCTGACATTATGGCCCTTGAAGAAGTTCACTTTTTCCAGATGGTGCGAAACTGGAATTTTACACCGAGATTGTTTTATTCTCTTATATGTTTCCTGTCATTTGTACTGAGTGTTCGTACCGTGATACATTGGATTAAAGTCTCGACGCTGCATCAATTAGCTTCATTTACTGTGGTTCTTGTTTCAAATGGAAATGATAATTCATGTTGTAGAATTTCCATTTTTGCAAAGGTAGAGGAAATAGTTTTTTAGTTTGTAACCTCCACAGTATTATGCGGATATTAGAATGTAGCAGAAACAAGTGATATGTGTATATTCATTCACAAACAGTTCATTCGGTCTCTCAAATAACCTATATCCTAGAGGTAATGCAGTAGTTAGGTGCTTGGTTTTCTTCCAAGGCATAAGTTACTAAGCGATTAGCTAAGTTAATTGACCCTTTCATTGTTCATCTTTCTGCATTATATGGTGTCACACTTTCTATCGTTTAGTTATAACTTTGCTATTTTATATTAGATGCTATTACTATTATTACTGCAATTTAATACTTTTTGCATATTTTTCTCTCTATCATATCTATGTTTTTCTCCGTATTGCACACAGTAATTTGCTATGTAGCTGCTATGACAACGTTTTATTATTATTATGTAATGCTTATTTTTATTTTTTGTTTTTGTCTTGTTGAGTAAATTGAATGCAATGTTGTACTGAATGCTGAAAATTCCTTGCTGTATCATTAGTACTGTTTTTGGAATAAAGCCAATTATGATTATGACTATCAGTTTTTTAGTTGAGACTTCTGAACTTTAATTAGTTCATGGATATCCCAGTGATCTCATGCGGAAAAAGGCGAAAAATTATTCATAGCTGCAGAAGTTCGAAGATAAAAATATGAGCATGTTTGAATTCAGTGCCTAACATCAGTGGAACAATATATGTTTCCTGTATGAGAGGTCATGTAGGCTCTCACACCTTGCTCAAACCAGCTGTGGCATATATTCGGGAATAGTAGATTATTGATTTTTTAATGGTTCTTTAATTAGTTGGAAGACGTTTGCTTGTAAGTGCTTTGCATGGGATCTTTTACATTAGAACTGCAATACAGCACTGCACCTTGAAGACTTGTGCATGGATATGATATGACTCAAGTGAGACATTTTCAGTTTAGCCTTACTAAAATTCTATCAAGTATGAATAAGTACCAAAATTTTAAACTTTTAAAACGTTGGCTGAGGTGATCAAAGCCCAAATTAACACTCTTTTCTATCTTTAATTCCTCAGCTTTCGACTTCGAAAACGCCAGCGAGAGAGTTAACCGTCAGGAATTTCGGGATCTGCTTCTTCATTGTGGAATGATACAAACCTATATCCGTCTAACGTAAGAGTTATATAGTGATATAAAGTGTTAAGGGATTTATAACAGCAAAGCGTTTAGGGTGAAGTTTGGAATAAGACAAGGTAGACTACTATCACCCATCAGCTTCCTGGTTGTGGTGGTTTGGATGATGTGGCAGGCTGCAGGAACTAGGAGATGTGTGTACTTGCGGCCGATGGAAAGACACTGGAAGGTCTTGGCTTCACAGGGGAAAAATGTCTAATATCACAGAAACTGGGGGATATATAAGATAAAGTCAACAATTCGTCAATAGGAACACGAAGACAGGACTACAAGTGAACACAGGGAGGTCATTGGTAATGAAGATATTCATCCAGTGAGGACGAGGTCAGTTCACTAACAGTGGAAGAAATCTAGAAGAAATCGCTCTTCTCACTTATCCATTCATTGACTACAGGTTGCAAAGTATGGATACAAAAGGCGGCCAGTATTGCGGAACCATTGGATAATTTCGCTACTGTGAATTCAATATGCACATCTACAACAAAAAGAACCGGATGGGAATTTCAACACTTACGTCAATTTAGTTTCGAAGACTCAGAACGCGCGTCATAAAAACCTTTCCCAATAGCTACTGTAGACCTTGGTCAACAGCTGTCTCAGCTCCATACTGGAGGTCAAAGGGCATATAGGTAAGGATTAGCTACAACGAACTCTGAAAACGAACCCGAAAGATATGCAGAACAAGAGTGACATGGGTCAATCGCACTGAGGAGACTCTCAGTGACATATGCAGGGTCCTGGAATGGAACCCGACCGGTAAGTGACGAGTTGTTTGTCCAAGACTGGCAGGCAGGTGATCATGTGGGGAAAATCCAAAGGCTTAAGAGCAGTGGTGTAATCAGCTGAATAAAGCGCCATAGAATAAGGTGAGAATAAGAGCCGTGCTACCGAAGCCCTGTATTCTACTCTGGAGCGATTAATGTAATGATAGTCCTTTCCAAGAGGCTGTTCCCTTTTACTTTGCTTGATGACCAAATACCGGATGAACATTCGATTATGGGCCATTCCCACATAGTACAAAAAAATATGATTATGAATCAGTTTCTGGTTTAACATACCCTGTTAGACGCCCTATGGTTATCTATTTATTGTAATTGTTGATACACCGGACAGTCTTCAAACAAAGTAGGGAAAACTTTACGGAATGTGAAAGAATCTGAGAAAATATATGAAGGAACATTTGAAACAGCACAAGTGAGTTGAATGGAAGACAGCTTAAATAAAAAGAAAAGAAAAAAGATCAGGAGGAGAAAGCACACAAAACGAAGTTTTAATACTGAAGCGAAGAAATCAGGCTAAGAAGCTTGTGCTACCACTGCACTCGTTTAGAGGCTGATTGCCTTATTTTTTATTTTTTATACTACAGCTTGATTCCACACTGTATCTTTGGTACAAGTATGAAATTTTCAGCGTGGATATCGGTAGCCTAAATTCTGCAGGCCGGCCATAAAAAGCAGGTATGCGTCGGCAGGGGTCGAAGCTCTGACCATGTGCACAGTCGGCGAGAGTCCTAACCACTGTGCCACCGACGCATATGCATGAAGGAGTGAGATCTCGTCCTTGAGCTGTCTCTGCTTAAATTACCAGTAAACTGAATAACGGCGATTTCAGCCGAAGGAGTATTAGATACTTCAGTAATTTACTAATTATCATTGTGACATTAGGAAGGCAATATTCAGCCGGGACTCTTTTCAGAGAATTTATTACCAAGTTGAACAATCGTACATATACGGCTTTTAGGAAATTATGCCCTGTGATGAAATTGGAACAAATATGTGTGTTACAGGAGTTTGAAAAATAAATTTCTACGAAACGGACTTGCAGTCTTTCACTGAAATTCAAAACAATATAAATTAGTACAGATGAAATCACCCAAATCAAAATCAAAACCAAATGATTTCAAATAGAATCATGTCGATAATAGCCTACTAGAGAACTGAAACATTATTGTTCTATTGAGCAAAATGTGTCACATAAGCATGGTAAAAACCTTCAAATATAAGATTATTCGGCATCCAAAAACACCAGGAACACAATGGCTGAGCACGAAGTGGCTCAGAGTTGACAAAATTGTGCATTCAAACAAAATATATGCATAACATCCCAATGTGTGTGCACAATTTGGGCCATATGGTGGAATGTAATTCCATAATGGACAAGTTTATTTGAAACACAGCACAGTGATCCAGTATAAAAAACTGGACGACGTTTCCAGCATTATTATTATTGCTCACGATCATATCTGATAGAGAAGATTTGTAGCTCAGGTGGATGATTTTGATGTGGTTTTGTTCTCTGAGCTGGATGGTTAGTTGGTTAGGATCATATCTGTTTCACTCATACGGCTTCAAAATTTGTCGTTTTACATTTCCTCTCTCTCTATCTCTTCACCTTCCACTTGTTGTCTGCCGCCGCTTTTTATATCAGTGGTGACGGGGTTGTGTCATTTCGACTGCACGCGTGTAGTGTTGAGTCGATAAGCAAAGCTTCAGTGATTAACCTATCTTTATCTCCACCTAATTAGATTAGTTTTAATACTCTCACCCTGTCCCACACTATTTTGTGATTGCATGCAAATGAATGCAATACTATGACTGAGCTTTTTTCTTGGTTATTTAATTAAGCAGTCAGTCAGTCATTCTAGGCAGGGCTAAATTTTTATACTCTAACAATCTGCTTTACTCCGATCTACTCATTTGACCGATGTAGTGTGTGCGTCGGTGGCACAGTGGTTAGGACTCTCGCCGACTATTCACATGGTCCGAGGTTCGAGCCCACGACGACGCACACCTGATATCTATGGTTGGCCTGCGAAATTTGGGCTACCGATATCCACGATGAAAATTCCATACTTGTACCATAAATACGGTGTCAATCACGTCTCATAAACCGTTAATGCCCAGCTCTCGCTACGCTCGGGCCCACGCTGTTCTTCGAAGATTTCTCAGAAACGCTTAGTTATAACGGACGCAAAAACCAAAACACTGATCTGCTGCTATAGATTTGTTTATTGTTACACCAACATATAAAAGGAATAAGCGAACTAAGGTCTGAAAACAAATATTACAATAATAAATCGTCGTATTACTTCTGACGATGTTTCACTCTTCTTTCTGAACAGCGACCGATGAGACGATGACTGTCGTATTGATGCCTCCGCGAAAATTGGGGAAGTTGATTTTGAGCAAACAACCATGAATTGATCGTTCAATCTTCAACTCCATTGACACTCCCCGGCAAAAATGGGATCCAACCCTTTTTTCCTTCACGACCAATGCACGTTGACTTGGATGCCATTGCGAGAACCTGGGTCACACGGACAGAGCTGAAATGGAAAACAAACAGAAA